GTGGAGGGTGAGTGTGTGTGTGTATGTGTGCGCTTGCGCGTGCATGCGTGTGTGTGGAACGTCTGGAGATTCCTCTACCTCACTTACAGGAACGGGGGTGGTGAGTGGGGCTGTGTTTATGTGTGTGTGCTTATGGGGATGGGTGTGTGTGTGCATGGAGGGTGTTTGTCTGTGCGTGTGTGTGTGTGTGTGTGCATGTATGTGTCCGTGTGTGTGTGTCTGTGTAATTTTTTGGTCCTTTTCAGAGAAGTTATTTTATTGAGTGTCTGAATTGCATGCCTGCTGGAATGTTGTGAGGTTGGTTGGCGGGTGCTTTAGTGTGGTTTGCTCGTCTTTTCCGTCAAATATCTATCGTCCTTATCGCTTCTCCTCCTTTTGTTTTCTATGCTGCTCTCTAGTAACACCGTAAATCTTTGGCACTTATGTGACCCAAGTGTGTTACAAATGCAGCAAAACTCTTACTGAAACTGAAATGGGGATGTTGTGTCCCACTTTGCTAGGGCTGGCCCTCACAGACAGGGTCGATGCAACAACCCCTACCCTCAAAAGGTATAAATTGTGTTGATTGGGACATAAAACATTCACAGTCGGTCACATATTAATTTATGTCAAAGGCGGGAAAGAAATGTGAATCTGGTTTTGAAAAAATGTGCTTAGAAACTTTTAAAACCCTTCAAGTGTTGATGGTAAATATAGCCTGTGATGTCAGGGGAAATTATATGATTTTAGAAATTATTTGAGAAGAGACAAACCAAGCAAGAGAAGATTATAAACCTGCACATATTCAGAAAGGAGAATATAAAGAGAAAACATAGAGTTCATTTGCTCAAGAAGGGTTAAAAAAGAATATCAGCTTTCAGTATAGTGCTGATGGGCAACAAGCAAGATCTCCCACCGCCCCTGCCTCAGGTCTGGTTTCTCTTCTTTTCCTCTATTGTTTCTGTCTTTCAGTCTTGCTTTTCCTTCCACATTAAATATTATGTTATATTGATGTGCTTCTCTAAATTCTCCCATGAACCTTCTCATGTGGATGGTTAGCGGGTGTTCAGGTGCGGTTTGCTCCTTCTTTCCAATCAAACTCAAACATCAGTCATTCTTATCTCTTCTCTGTCTTTTCTTTGTATTTTACCCTATAGTAATACCTCTAATCTTTTGCATTTATATTATCTATTTGTGTTGCAAGTGCCTTAAAACTGTTAGTAAACTAAAATCTCCTTCCTCTCTCTGTCTGTCTCTCTGTTT